TTCTCAGGCATGCAGCGGACACCCGGCGTTAACGCACACGTGTGGTTGTGTATTTAAAACTCACAGAACGCACAGACACACAAACTCTAGGCAGCTACTGCACCGTGCATGAAATGTACTGAAAAGACGTCCGTCTTCTGGCCAAAAAAAAACAAAAAAACAACAAACAAAAACAACAACAAACAAATGTTTATTTTGAACACAGGATTGTGGGTGTTATATTTTTCCTAAATCGCTTTGTATGTTAACACTCAAGGGCTGTGTGTTACTGAACTTCAGGGGCTTTGGCAAAATTACTGCTGTGTTAAAAACAAAGAAACGGAAAAAAACAAAACAAAAAAAAAAACGATACAACGGTGCGTTCTGACTTAGCTTTATGGAACTTTTTTAAAAATAATTGTTGTAACTTAAATATCTGCTGCACAACAGTGTAAGTATGTGTGTAGCCTGGAGTAGAGCGTCATTATAACTCTTATGAAATGTTCCCCTTTTTAAAAAGATAGTTTGGACACAATGTAGTAGCGTAGAGCAATTTTTATATATATTTTTTAAATTTAATGATAGCAGGTTTTTTTGTTGTAACTTTTACATGTTTACACCACACTCACACAGCCAGTGTTACGTCACCTCTTGTGCGTTTGGCTTCTAAAAAAGCCAAAAAAAATATTTTACAATATTGTCCTGCCTTTTTATAAATAAAACTGTACTGTGTATTTTTTTAAACAATGTACTTCATGGTTACTAACCTCCACAGGCCATACTGACTTCTCATGTTCATGTCTCATCTTCCCACATAGCAAAACTGGTCATGTGACTCATACAGCAGTCAACATTGTGGCTCTCTCCGTGGTGCAAACTTCTATTATTTGTATTTATTTAAAAAAATAATAAATAAATAAATACTCGATTACAAAATTAATTAACAATTTACATGTTGTTTTTGTTTTTCAATTTCGTCTTTCCTAATCTGCTCTAGTGCCCTCTAGCGGAGGCGCACCTCATATCATACAATTTCTAAAGTTACATGTTGTTTTTTTGTTTTTCAATTTCGTGTCTTTCCTAATCTGCTCTGGTGCCCTCTAGCGGAGGCGCACCTCATATCATGTATTCATAGGCCAATATTTGGTATCTACAACGAGCTAATGACGTCACATTTTTGTCCATTAGGTTCTAAGTCAATACTCACAGATGGGACGAATGGGACTAGAGTTCGAGTCCACTTCACTTCCTGTTGCAGAATTTCCACATTATTTCCGAGTCTTCAAGTCCATGTCCCGTCATATTTTAATATGTTCTAGAGCATTATCACTGTTGGCTAAAGTTCGAGTCCCACGTTCTCGACACCAGTCACTACAGGCTTGAATTTAAATGTCAATGTCCGGACCAGTTTTGCTGTGCGTGGAACCAACGTCCTGTTCAACTTGAATTTTATTTATTTACATTTTAAACCAGTATCAAACACAACTGCAGCTTAGAGGAAAATAGGGAAAAAAAAAAAAGACACCGCCGTCTTCATTGCTGCACCAACACTGGCTGAGAACGTTCTAGTAGTTGCCGCTTCACCAATCCTGCATTTCCTCGTCTGTCCACCACACTGTGCTGTTTCACTACATTTCCATGACATCGACACAGTTGTTGCACCTTATTGGACGAACATGCACTTAGTAACCACCTGTTGAGGAGCGTAAAGCGTAATGAAATACTCAGTAATATCTTTATATAAGTGTGAGTTTGTTTGTTTGTTTTTTTGTTTGTTTTTCAAATGCTTTTAGCTTCCGATGTTCTGACTGTGAGGTACAATCACTCGTGGGAACCCCTTTGACTACTTCTCCCTTTGTACTGATGCTGTGTTTGTACGTGTTTTGGAAATAAAAACAGTAGAGTACCATTTTTAAGTCAAAATAAATTTTCTGAATTTAGAGTCTGTTACAGAGCTCTTTTCTTTCTAGAGTTTTCTCTGACCTCGGGCTACTGTCTCCACACATACTGTGCATATCTCGTCTGATTTACATCAACTTCAGTTCACAGTGAAGTCCCTCAGTTTTTACATTTGTGTCCAGAGGGCTTGTTTACATCGAAATATAACTACAACTTTAAAAAGATATATTGAAATAACTGTAAATTATACAGTAGGACCATAAATAAGGAAGAGGTCTGTGTGTTAGCTGCGATGCTAACTTCTCTTCTTTCTTCTTTGTTTTCAATCTTTTTCTTCTTCTGCCCCCTCATCTTCCTCTTCTTCTTTCAGTCCATTTGAGTCCAATTGAGTCCAGATCTGTGCAGCAAACTGGTTAGATAAACAGTGAGACAATCATTGCAGGTTGTGTTGTCAAGGTCTGTTTTCTCTCTTCACCTCCGTCAGTCTTCACTTCCTGTCCACTCTCTCTCTCTCTCTCTGTGGAACTAAGATATGAACTTTGGAAACTTTTCTCATGTTTCTCATGTCGCTGCTCAGGAACCGTTCAACACAGATGACTGTGGAGGATTTTCTCCCAAACTCCCAAACTGCACGTTGACTCCCATCGTTACCTGCGAGGAAGCCTTCGGCTCTGACTCCCAGCTCGTGGCCCCAGGCTGTTGTCTGCTTTACCTGCCCTGATGTAATGCTCCTGGAAGTGAAGTGATGCCTGTGACTGGCAGAGGAGTGAAAATGTGTGGCAGGGAAAATATTTGACAAAACTGGTCAAACTGCTGCAGACTGGATTAAAACTTTTGATTAAAAATTGATTTTTTTTTCTACAGTTTTACCAAATATAACCTGTGTTAGACATAAATGTCTCTGTGCTGAAAATATGTGCATTTTGATTGCATTTAATGTCACACTTGATTGTGGAGATTATGAAACAGATGGACTTGGCCTCTGTGTCCTCCCCGTCAGTCCTGATGAGAGAATATATAATCTTCAGGTTGCAGATGACGGATTATTTCAGATTACAGACAAACAAGGAGTTTATTCCATCACTGGTTTATTCCTTTTATTATTGTATTTCGACCCAGTCTTGGAACTGTGGCTCGGACATCAGCTGTACGAATGGGTTAAAAACGATCGGCAAAAACGATCATCAAAAATACATTTGACCTTTTCTCTGTGGCCTGAACTGACATTTCATTTTTTTAAATTTATGCCACAAACGTGGCGTCCATTCACAACTCTGTGTGAACTGTGATACTCGCTGTCATCTCTCCCTCCTCTGCTGGGAGAGATTATTCCTTACAGCCGCCTTAATATAGTCTTATCTCTCCTTGAGCCAAATCTGCTTCGCATCACAGTTGACATTTGTATCTCGCACTGTCTGTGAGGTCACAGTCTACAGGCGGGGAGCCAAATGCAGTGATCTGTAGTAAAAAAAAAACCTAAAAAAAACCTGGATCTCTGACAAACAGCCTATAGACAAACTTCATTAAGTCAGACATTGACCGTCCAGCTTGTCCAGGGCTGCAGGGCAGCTGGGCATCGGTCCTAGCACTGCAGCAGGCTGACACGAATACTGAGCAGAGCCTTTGTTAACTGCTGTACATGTTTAATGTCTGCTCCAGCTGCAGGCAGACGGCTCTTAGGGGGTACATTTAAAAAAATGGAGATATTTCAGGTACTTACTTTTTTTGGCAGTGGAAATGAAAAACAGGATTATCTGCAATATATGTAATCAGAGCAAGTTGGATTGAATTCCTCCCATGGCACGAGAATAATGTTAATGCAGAGTCAATGTGCACCGCAGACTGAACATAACAAACGGATGGAGCTACAGCATCAGCCTTGGATGCACCTGATCATCATCAGAAAAAAAGAATATTTTCACTGAATTTGGTGTCATCATCAGAGCTCTGTTTGGGAAAAAAAAAGAATATTTTCACTGAATTTGTTCATCATCAGAGCTCTGTTTGGGGAAAAAAAGAATATTTTCACTGAATTTGTAACATTTCGAACAACTTTTCATAGTCTCAGTAACTACGTCTATAGTCATAATAAAGAGAACATGTCAAAGACGCAGATGCAGACCTCCAGATTTCCAAACAAAGACTACCATCCTCTCTGCAGCCAGGGAACAAAATGCTGGACTGTGAGGTTTTGAACATCATATTTTTTGCAGCATCTGCTCAGACAGCAGCACGGTGTGAATCTGTGAATCTGTGTGTCAGCAACGGTGAAGCCTCAACTTTGAAATCGTGCCTGTAGCGCACAACAGAACCCAGACCTTAGAGTTGGACGAGAGCAGTGAGTTCTTAGAGAAAAACATACAAAAAAGTATTGGTTTTTTGATATTTTTGATGACTGATTTTCTTTCTTCGAACCCGTATTTCTCAACCTGTCGTTTTGTCTATAATTATTTAAATGTAAGTTATTATATTTAATGAATGAATGAATAATAACAATAATTATAACGATTATTATTATTATTATTATTATTATTATTCGTATAGTAGTAAAAGTTTAGGTTTGTCCCGCAGCCCAACGTTCTTGCTCGAACGTCCCTTTTTTTTCGTCGTTACGGCAGTAAAACAAAAACAAAACACTTGGTTCCAAGTGGCGTGATTAAGATTGGTTTTATTTTGTAGGATTTTACCGGAAGTGGTCTTCACTTCCGTCAAATTCACTCTCGCCCCTGTGAAGCACCACTGTCTCCTCTCCTCACTCTGTGGCTCCTGCAGCTCTGGACGCGCATCAACTAATGAATCTCACCTGTTGACTTAATTTTTTTTCTTTTTGATCCAACATTTCCCCCAATTATGTGACACTAACTGTCCTGTTCCAGGGTATTTTGACTCACATCTGATTTAATTTCCCTGCCCGTTCACACGCTGTGAATCACTGGAGTGATGCAGCGCGGAGAGGAGTCGCGTTTGGAATAAAAACTTAAGGATGCGCTCTGGGGCTGGAGCCAGGCGTCGGCTGTCGGGGCGCAGGGATTCCGCCGATTCCCCCCTGTCATGGTGTCAGTGTCGGCGGGGGGGTTTTTTGGGGGAACCCAGGGGGGGAGAAGAA